CCAAGGGTTTTTTTTTTTTTTTCCTTTTCTTTTGCCTGCAGCTAGTTGGCTAGCGTCAGCTTCCCCTTTCTTATTTAGAAAATGAAAAAATACGCAGACCCTTGTTCGCTTGTTCCCTTGTCCCTTGGCCCTTGCCCGCTTTGGGTGCCCTGCCTGTTTGTGTCTGTCTGTCTGTGAATATATTATTATTAGTTATATGTATGGAGTCGTTGCTATTAAGTTCCTTTTTTTTTTAAAAAAAAAAAAAATAATAAAATTCTTTCTTTTTTTCACTGACACATAGTTGTTGTTGAGTGGTTATATATGGTCTGTCTGTGTGCTTGTTCTGAGCAGACTTAAATCCATGCCACGCCCCTTCTCTTTGTCTTGACTATTTTATTTATTCTTCTTCTTCTTTAACGATCACTCCATATAACTCTGCTTCTACTCTGTACTCTCCTTATATCGCTATCTATCCTTCTTTCTACTCCCTTCTTCCCGTCGGTTTCCAGCTTCCCTCGACCGCTCGCTCTCCTCTTCCTGGTCTCCTCTCCCGGTTCTTGCCGCCTTCTGCCCTCCCAACACGGTCCCACTCCGCCCCGCCGCAACCAGATCCCTTCGTTGCACCTTAAAACCAAACAAAACCTTCGACCAGCATCCGTGCATCACATCATCCATCTCTCCTCAATCATCATCGTCATCTTCCCGGCCCGTGACTCACGCCATCAGCCCTTTAAATCACGTTCTTCCGTCGTCTGTCCTTCGAATCTAATACCTACCACCTGAACCTGCTATTCGAAACGTCTTATCACATCTCCCTCTCTCTCTCTCTCCATATATATTTATATATATATATATATTTATATATATATATATATATATATATATATATATACCAGCATACAACAAACTCTAGCCATAGTGAACGAACAAAAGTAGCCTGCCTCTGGCTCGCAATTCGACGCTTCACTGCAACATCTCACAATGGCAACTGCCTGGTCACTAGACTTCTGTCTGGTCTGCGATAGACAGACGCTGGGAGGGGCATACTGCTCCCAGGCTTGTCGATTAGCAGAGATGGACGGCTGTGCCACCACAGCGGCGGATTCAGAACCTTCGTCCCCCACCACCACTACACCAGTAGCGAGTCCCTGGACCGCTCAAGGATATCAACATCAACATCAACATCAACAGCCATCAGCTCTATATCTCGGTCCCGCCATTGACTTCAGCGGTTACAAGTTCCCCGGTTCTTCTTCTTCTTCTTCTTCTTCTTCGACTCCATCCATGCCATCTGCTTCCCGACAACGTCTCTCGCCCTCCTCCTCACAAACCTCCCTCTCCTCCCTCCACAGCGTCTCCTCGAATTCCTCCTCCCTGTCCGGTCAAGCGAGAAGTGAATTGGAAAACTACTCTGGTAGTTTCGACAAAGTCCGAGACTGGAAGCGACGACGAACAGCCTCGTGATGGTTCCTTACCATACGGAGCAACAATTACGACCCAACCCAACCCCACCCTCCCCTCCCCTCTCTCTGTTACAAGAACGGCAATACTTTCGAACCAATGTCGTTTAACTCGATTATACATGACCACTTTTCCCTTTTCCTAAAAAATATACATTATATATATATATATGCCACCACCACATCTACGAACTTTCTGGGTCTGCGGAGTCAAAAAAACCTTTGAGGGGTGTCGGTTGAGCATGAAAACACTACCACGAAACCAAAACTTGGATGGAAACTCTTTTCTCTGCGTCGGAAGCATATTTTGCAGCATTTTGAACTGGCGTTTTTTTTTCGCTATTATTTACCCACCAAAACAAAGAGTGACAAAACTATATATACCCCACAAAGCGAACGACCTAAAAAAAAAAGCGTCCATGAAAATATATTCGAGAGTGATTGAGGGAAGGAAAGGGAAACAAGAAGAAACCACCGAAGACTTTGCCTTTCCATCCGACATCTCTGCACTTGAACAAAAATATATTTAAAAGAAGAAGAAAGAAAGAAAGAAAGAAACATCCCAATGACTCTTTTCCACTCATGCTACACACAGCTGAACATACATTATGCACATGTCTCCTTTCCTTTTGTTCCTTTTTTATCAGCTTCCTCTTAACTTTCTTTTCTTGCCTTGTCTTTTTATACATCACTATACTATACTATACTATACTATACTATCCTATCCTCTCTTCTTTGCATCCTATTTCCTTTTTCCCTTTTCCTATTTTTTTAACTTGACGTTTGAAAAGATCAAAAATATCATTCGCATTGTTTTTTTTTTTTTTTTTTTTTTTTTTTTTTTCCATTTTCATACATCACATCACATCGCGCGGGTTGGGCACACAGACGCATACACACAAAAGAAGGTTTTGACGGAAATGAATAGAAGAAGCCAAGAGAAAAATGAGAAATCACATTATTTCATATATATATTAAGTGTTCATCAACTGATGAAACAGACATAGTGATACAATGCTATAAATGAGATGGAATGAAAATGAATGAGTTTTACATACACTAATTAATCATGTTAAGCTCATCTCACTGCAATGATACTATCACTACGATATTAATATTAAGCGTCAAAAAATTCATCATTATTTAATATTATATATCTCTCTATAATATACAAATTATTTTACATATACTCACTCAGTTAAAAGCTGTAAAATCTGTTATAGATTGAAATATGTGATCAATCTGAGTCATGCCGGCCTCGTTACGTCATCAAGGGGGATTGCTCGTATGTTGTTAGAAACCTACGTTTTTTCTACCGGGCCACAAACTACGTCCCCGTCCAGTCCGGTCCAGTCCGAGACGAGTACGCCATATATATATATATATATATATATATAAAAGAAAAAAAGAAAACCCCATTGCAAGGAAATCTGGCGCGGGTGTCGCGGGTGTGAGTGAGTACATGACATGTACTGTACATTATTACATACATGCAATAATATAATAGCCGGGTTTATGCAGGTACCGTAGGGGAAGGGGATGTAAGGAAGGAAGTTATGTAAGGCTGTCTGGTAACTATGAATTGAATTTTGAGTTGATATAACAGTGTATATTCTCCGCCGTGGGGGGGAAAGGAAAGGGTTGGTTATTATTTTATCTATGTAATTAAATTATTGTGCCCCATACCATGCCATTATTGCCATGCACATACTCTCACTATGGTATGGTATGTTATGGAGGAGTTACGACTTATTGCGAGTCTCAGATTTCTATTTTATTTTATTTTTTACTTTAGTTTACTTTTCACTTTATTTATTTTTTTATGCCAGTTGCGCCACGCGTTCCCCGCCCACCACCTCCTCCCCGCGCCGGAAAAAAAATTAAAAATTTTTTTTTTATCATACCCATCACACGGACAACCACAACCATCATCGAGCAAAGAGAAGAGATTCCATCCATCCCGGCAGTGACGCATGACGTATGTGGCTTCCAATGATCTGATCGGACCCGCTAACTGAACTAACTTACTTGCTTCCTGGCGAGATGACAGGCGAGAGGCGAAAAAAATAGACAAAAAATCTCGACACATTGGGCTGAGGGATCGTATGATCGAGTATGATCGAGTCCGGGCCGATGATAGTTTTACAAGCCGTCTAGCAGATAAATAAATAGATAATTGTTGTTGCCAAGTGCAGAAAACTATAATGCAAAAAAAAAAAAAAAGAAAAAAAAAAAAAAAGAAAGAAAAAAAAAGAAAAACAAAAAAGAAAAAATAAAAATAAAAAAAAATAAAAAATAAAAAATCACGTAGAATGCAAAACACAGAACACGGAAAGGTATCCGGAAAACAGCAGCAGCAGCAGTAGTCATAAATAAAAGCAATACCCCTACTCCCAGTTATCTCCTCTCCTGCGCCCAAAACTCCTATTGGAAACTCCGTATCTCAATCCATCTATCAATACCCCAATCTCCGAATCCCCGAATCAATCAACCCTTCTCATCCCATTGCCAAATCCGTCTGACTCTTCCTAGCCAGCTTCAGCTTCAACTTCTGTTTCTCCGCCCACTCGCGGCTAGCCAACCGACCCCGCTCCGCCGCTTCAGTCCGGGCTCGCTTCGCTGCCTCCTCCTTCTCTCGCCGCTCGCGGTCCCGTTCGATTTCGTGGATCCGATCTCGCGCAAATATCTCTTTCCCACGCGACCTTTGCACGGATAGTGTGCCATCTATCATTTTCTGGGTCGAGGTCGAGGTGGTAGTAGTGGTTGGGGTGGTTAGGTTGTTGTTGTTATTGTTGTTGGAAGATGAAGATACTGGCGAGGTCTCGCTGGGGTTGGGGTTGTCTTGGTCCCTGGGGGGTGGTCTGTTGGAGTCTAAATCTTTGTGTCTAGTGTTGAGCTTCGCAAGGCGTGCTGGGGTAGCCGGGGTGTCCGTTGTGTCTGGTTGTGTGTGACTGGACGCGGCGTTCCTTGTCACAGCACTGCGCAAGGAGCTGGTTCTGGTAGACGCCAGCGCACTGGACCTCCGTGACTGAAGTGATGCGGACCTTCTGGGGTTTTTAGCTAGGGTGTTTATGTTTTGTTGTGCTTCCTCTGCATTGAGCGTCGCGCGACTCCGGCTTGCAACTGTTTCCTTCACAGGCAAGGACGGTGTAGAGTAGTTTCGCAACGCCCTCGCCTTAAACTCTCGCCTTCGCTGTAGCTCTTCCTCTTCCCGCTTCAGGCGCTCTTCACGTTGCGCTTTCTGGCGCCTTGATATGGCCTCCCCTGGCAATTCAAATGTTGGGCGTGTGGGCGGTTTGGTAGATTTAGATGGCGTAAATCTAGGTTTTAATATACTATTAATGGCGGTGGAATTGGGGCGGGCCTTAGTTGTCCGAGATGTCAGTGTTGGCATGGTATCCGAAGGTAAGTTGGGATGGCTGCTTTTCCTGGATATGGTTGCACGAATAGGACCTGGTCTAGAATCGGTTGATGCTGAACGGGCGGGTTTGCTGACAGGCCGATCAGAGTTCTTCGTTGAAAGCGCGGCAGCGACGGATGATTGCCTAGTTTTCATAGACAGTGAAGGACGTTGAGAGAGCTTTGCTTCTCTAGGTCGCGACCTCTGTTCATCCTCGCTGCGTTGGTGCTGGATTGCTGCATTGGGCTTCTTGGAAGCTATGCTTGTATTGTTTCTTCGTGATGAACGGATTCCATCAGCTGGAGTGCCTGCTCTCAGAGGAGAGTCGAGCCCGTGCTCTTCCACGACAGGCAGGGCCTGTCCAATCTGTTCAAGGGCATCTTCAAGGGCATCTATGGCATCCAAGGGGTCTACGATATCCTGGTAATTTCTAGCTTGAGCATGAGACGTGGATGACACGGATCGTGTCTCAGGATTGGCCCATTTGTCATTGCTGTTTGATTTGAAAGCTGGACGTATAGATTGCAGGAAAGAATCTTCGTCTTCGTCAGCTAATTCCTCCTTTACCGGACTTTTATGCAATTCCGGATCGAATCGTGGAGTCTGGGTAATCTGCGATGGAACTAGCTGTAGAGGCTGCGATTTAGGGGAAACTTGTTCCTCTATGACCTGGGACATTGGATCTGGGGTTATTATATCTGTTGAAGACATATGTTAGTATGTTTAATCTAACATCCCCAATCGTCAAAGAAACCAAAAACATAAGAAAGGGACATAGGAACCAACAAAACTCAAGTTTACCCGCCTTTTTGTCCTCGTTGACTATCCACCGTGCGGTTGTTACCAGTCCGAGTAGGCGGGGTTTGCTCGCCGTGTCTATCAACGTCACCCAACAATGTATTCCGAAATACCTTTATCCCAAGTTCTTCCGGGTTTATTAGGTCCCTTATACTTCGAGATCTTTTTAACTGTATACCTGTTACTCTTCTTGTCGGGTTATTTCTGGTAATCTCCTCTTTTTCCCGTTTTGACTTTGAAGCGATCGAAATGTTCTCAGGCGAGATTTGAGTATGGTCGTGGTTACCAGTTGTTTCTTCAAGAGCTCTCCGTGTACTGGGAAATGTTGATGTACTATTCGAAGCTTCAATTAACGACGTATGGGGTGGATTTATAGGGTCCTTTATATCATGAGTGTTGTTGCGGCGCGAGACAGCGCGTGTGACGCGAGGCATTATAGAGCTAGATTGTATTCTGGAAGGGTTGAGCTAGATCAGTGAAGGACAGATCTAGGATTAGGACCAATTCACGGTGTATATCTCCCAGTCGCGATTGTGTTTGATTGATCTAGTAGGGCGTGTGTGTTGGACAGTGGATCAGCCCGTTTGTGTAACCCGCAATCACTGATTAACAAGAGGTTACGCAAATAATTCCCGTAGCTTTTATGTCAATTGAAGGTTGGCTATGAGGAGACAGGACGACTTGTGGAAGGAGATTCAATGTGTGTTGGAGATTTCAACAGGATTAGGGGGAGTTGGTTGCGGGCTTGGGTTGTTGTTGATACGGCAACCGCGGTTAGTGTGGCGCGGCGGTGTATGCGACCCGCACTAGCGCAAAGCTTAAATAAAGGTATCTCGTTCTCGAACTCAGCTAGGAGGACTGAAACCACCCCCCGCCTTATGATATTTATGTGACAGAGGCCGCGGGGGGATAAATAGCCATGATTGTCTTAAGTCGCACTATTTTTTCATTGCTTATCGCGGACTTCCGCAGCGGTATTCCGTTTGCACAGAATAGATATGGAAAACCTTTTCAATTGCCCTGGCTATCTTATACCAATTTACCTCTTCATTTTAAATTATGTCTATCTAGATCAAACGCCTATATATGACCTGTGTATGCCGAAAGAACAGGAAATATTGTACAAGGGTATAAAAATGCAAGTCATCACTGTATTTCATCAACTGTACTCATGCTTTGGCTGGGTGATCCTCTCCTGTTGTTCGCGATGTGCCCGACTGCTCAGCGGGGATCCGAACCAGTGTCGAGGGCAGCGGGGGCGTGTTTTGTTCGTCTTTCTCGGTTTCCTTCGCATCGTGATCGCGTTCACTTGCAGCTGCTACCTTGGCTAAATATCCACAATTGGCCTCTGCATATTCTGTATCAATGTATGTTTGAGTGGACTCACTGGATGCCATGCTGATTGCACTAAGGACATTGCCCCAATTTGCCATAACGCATGCGACAGCTAATCGACATCAGATGGTTAGCGCTTTTGCATGTGCCAAAAAGCTTTCAGCATTCAAGAGGCGAATTGGTTTGAAAACCATGTATGCGTGGAACCAACCTTCAGTCCCGTCCTTCAGGGTACTCAACTTCTCCTCCAATGCCTCCATTTGCGAGGCCAACGCGCCGCTCACATCGCGGAGTTGTCTAAGGTTTTCAAGTTCGAGTCTTTTGGACGCTATTCGGGCTGCGAGAGGGGACGATTGCTGGGAGGAAAGAGGGTGTATGGAAGACTGTCGAAGAGAGGAGGAAGTCCCCGTGGAGGAGAACACTGCTGTTGGCCTGGACATCGTCTATAGCATGCTATTTAGAAACAATGTCACCAGACCGGTGTGCTGCAACTAGATAATAAAATCAATGGAATGACGTTTGGAAGAACGACGCGATAAAGGATAAGCGATATCAGCACGTGACCATATGCCAGGCACGTGTTTTAGCTTCAACGCTCGTCGGAGCAACCAAGCTAACCGCTTCCGGTCAAATGTCAACAAAGCGGGCTCCTTGTTGTTTTGTGCCATCGCAACAACCGTCGGAAATCTATCCAACATTTTTCCAACGACCTCTAGCTACATAGAAGTCGAAACCAACGACAGGACTCTGGGAGAAGAACTTCACAAAGCTTATTATTATCTGTTTAACTAACAAGACCTTATAATTAATGTCCCAACCATCTTCCTGTTCCACCCCTGTCATACCAGTTTTGACTCGACGATTGACCCTTTGTAGCTTGCCGCTATGGCGAGGTTGAATGATATCCCCGTTGCTGCGGAATCAGTCGAATCTTGTATGCTGAATTTCCTAGGTTAATGTGCACCCAGAGAGCCTCTGCTAACTTGGGATCCTTTGCTAGTAAAACGTCGGTTCATACGGCAAAATCGCGAAATTGCGCGTGCGAACTCTATGCAATCTCTCCGTATACGCACTCTAGAATCCGAAGTCTCTCGCCTTCTTACGGAAAATGCTTCCCTTCGTGAGGAGGTCATCGCTACAAATCAAGAACTTGAAAAGTTCAAGCATGATGGACAATTGGGTTGTGAAATCGATAACCTAAAATCGAAACTGGATGCAAAGCTGGCTGAATTTGGAAGCTTGATTGCAGACTTGGGCTCATTACCTCAGAGAAGAGGTCTGGCTGGGAAGTCACGGCAAAGATCCATTGGTGGAGAATTCCAAATTTCTCCGGAAGCGGCTCGTCGGAGATCTCTAATGAAGGCTGCTCGACAGGTGACGGATGAGGGTCGGCTTCCCGCTATTGTGGAAGACAAATTTTACCCCAGATTAACGCTAGAGTAAGGATTTACTATGTTACTGACACTTTCTTTTGGTATGGTTATGCTAATACAATGTGCAGAAGTGAGGATTTTGCCGATCTAGCAGGCAGTGAGGGAGGAGAAAACGATTCGCCTGAGATAATTTCCACGCCAGTTCTAACAATCCCGAACACGGTGGACTCCTCCGCAGATGAAGAGCCTGCAATGATTTTTGGAGCCAACGAAAATATAATTCAGCCCTCACCGTCCATTTCGAACTTGGGGGCAAGGAGAAGGAAGAGGGATAGTTCGTTGCTAAATAGTACGCCCCGGAGCAAAGCAATGGAAAGCAAGGAGCAAGAATTTGTGCCGATACATATTTCAAAATCTGGATCCAAACGCAAGCTTAGTGTACGGGATGACGACGAAGACTTGATGTCACAAGACTTAAATGACCATGACGATTTCCACTACACTCGATTAGCCGGGTTATCTACCTATACCTCAAGAAATCCCGACGTAGAGCCTGAAGGGACACCAACAAAAGTCAACGCGGACAAGGCAGAAAGCCAGCGAGTGGAAAGAACTACTGTTCGGCCTGCCCTAGGGCCTAGTATGTACCATCTCTGCCCTCTGTTTCTAGAATTTGACTAATGCGTTGATTCACAGAAAGTACAAATATCAAGCAAAGATCCTCCTCGCCTACCAAAAAGAATCCAGGCGCTGGGGGTTGGGAAAAGGAGATCCCAAAGCCTAACCCTAAACCACCAAAGAATAGAAGCCACAATGCCATTGACAAATCAATGCGAACAGTTCACGTTCCTACTACTGAGCAAACGAAACAGGGCGTTGTGGATATTGATCTAGCGCAGGAACGGGGCCCTGTCGAGGAAAACAGGGACACTGAACAGGCTTCAACATACACTTTGGAAACTCTTCGAGAAGCCAGAGATACGCCACCCTTACCCACGGCTGGGACGACCCGTCCACCCCGCAGATCCCGAGGTTCTATAAGCTACGCGGAGCCAAATCTTAGGGATAAAATGCGGCGACCTACCAAGGAACTTGTAGATGCTGTTAGCGGTGATGTTCGCTTCAGACGATCCTCGAAGTCTCATCTCGACATGGCCAAGGAAAGGTGCAGTGAAGAAAGCAGCCATAATTTCGACGTATCTTCAATGGCCTATAATGACTCATGCGCGACTTCTCTAGAAGGGAAAGATCAAAATTTGATGATGGAGTTGCCCTCTAATGTCACGGCCGACAGGAAACGCCGGACACTCTCCATAACTAAATTCGATTTTGTAACTGTTCCAGCAACGGGCCAGTCGACGTCAAGTGTGGCTATATCAACTCTTATGGCAGGAAGTAAAAGGCGAAGTCATCGAGAAAGAGACACTGCTGAAAGCTCCGTCGACTATGAACAAGGTGTTGGTGCTGGTAATGGTTCCACTCGTTCTTCTCGAAGACACTCCTCCAATCCGACTACAGGTGGAACAAACTCAAGGTCACGTAGAAGCAAAAGTTCTGCTCTCCTTGCAAAGGAAAACGCCGTGAATGTCCAGGCTGTCTTGGAATCGGCAAGGCTCAATGTGAATAGCAAACTGGGTAACGATTACCACCAGCATGCTTCTTCCTCTTCGATCTCTTCGTCCAATCCAAGAGCCACAAAGGTCGTTTCGGAATTCGACTATGACGCTTTTCTTGAAGCGCAGGAAGACGCGTCTGAGGTTAGGAGGGTGCAGCGACTTGCCACATCGAGGCGGCGGAGTATGATGTTGTGAAGCGTACTGTTACATGACGATTATATAGGATTCCTTTTTGGTTTCTTCTCTATTTGGGGAAGGGGAAGGCAGTTCGGGGACGGGCCTTTTTCTGTTGGTTTTTGTTCCTATAGAGTTTATAATACCCATTACAGCCAGCCTTGTACTGTTCATTTTGTTAATTGAATCTTTTTAAGTATTTCTCCCCCTTTTCCTTCGCCTTTTTCATGAGCACCTCTCCCTTGAAAGTTGGAAGGGGAGGTCAAGGCAAAAATGGAAAAGTAGGTGAATCCCGATAAGAAATTGTTTGTCGGGAACGAGCACGCAAGAACCATCCAACGTGTCATTATGCCAGAGGAAAAAGAAAGAGAATCATTGACGAGTTCTGCTTTTCATCAGACTGGCATAGATATTGGTATTTTCAACAGACTCTATGTATTACCTATGTGCTGTGTCATGCGCTTGCGCCTTGGTAACACCAAGGAAGGTCTTTTTCTATGAACAAAAAGCTCAAAGACGAATGGAAAGGGCGGGGAGACGAGGAGATATTTGCTCCCAGTCAAAATCGCAAAAACGCCATTTTCCCAATGCTTGTTGCTTGTATGCCTGCATGTGCGCGTGATCGCCCGCCCAAAATATCCTCAACGCATATCGTAATTCATTCCGGAAAAAGAATAAAGAGATGTGAAAGCCCAGACGGATCCACTGGTCAATCGTGGTGGGGCGGATAAGAAGAATATGTGACTGGTCGGTGGATAGGAGGCTATTTATTAATCTATCTTCTTAGAGTATAACCCCCCCCCACCCCAAATCCTTATCGCTTAGCTCTCTGGCCCTCCCTTCAGTTGGCGGCCATTATTCATTCTTTTTTCTTAGAGCTACTCTTCGGCATGCGCTCATACGCATTTGGTCGCGGGCGACGACGCTGACGATGTATCCGTATCCGCCTGCGCTTGCTCGCATCACCACTACCGCTATCGCAACAGCTGTCGCTGCCGCTTCCTCCATCGCCGTCGTCACCTCCTTTCTGTTCTGCAGGCCCGTCGTGCTGAGAGTTGCTGTGATTATGGCACTTGTACCGGTGACGATGCATGCGGTTAGCAGGAACACGGCCGTTGGCCATTCTGGCTTCGCCGGTGTCGACGTCGCTGTCACTGTCGCTGGAGTCTGAAGAGGAGTCTGACGAGGATTCGGAGCTGCTTTCGCCTACGGGGCGGGCTTTGTGGAAGATGCAGCAGACTTGATAGAGAAGTTAGCGACTTGTTTGGCTGGGTTCAACAACAAGGGGAGGGAAGCTAGGGATTGAAACGATGGGCGTGTGGGTTATGCAGGGAAATTCATTTGTAGAGAGGCAAAGAACTAGAGTGGATAGAAGATATGCGGTTGGAAAATAGCTCGAAGAATAGAAAATCCGTCCGTTCTTAAGGGCTTGTTTTCCTCTTGTAAAAAAAAAAAATAAAGAAAGAAAATGGCGCCGTTTGCAACACGGGGAAAGCGAACAATTGTAATTTTATTTTACATACCCTTTGAACTCTTCCTCCCCAGCTCCTCATTGTCAACCACATCCTCCGCCCAGCGTATACCCCTCCTACTAGCCTGACCCGTCCCCGTCTCCGATTCTGTTTCCACCTCCGTGTTCGCCTCAGCCCTTAACCTCAGCCGACCTGTTATCCGACCCTGTTGGTGTCGGACTGTCGTCTCCACCTGTGCCATTGTGCCGGGGCTATTGGTTCCTCCAGTCTGGAGTCTTTGTGTCATTGCGCCTCTGTCCCTGGACATTGTGTGGCCCTCGATTTCTTCAGTGACTCCTTTGCGATTTGCCTCCTACTTGAGAGGGGCGAACAAGTGTTAGATTGGTGATTGGAGAAGGTTGGGAGAGCGGGCGCGTGAATCGGGATGCGAAGGGGTTTAGTTATGGCACGCTCTGCTTTGGAGATGGGGTATTATCTCGTAATATGTCAACAAGTTGGTGACGCCCAATGACATAAGGAAAGCAAGCGCGGTTCGGTTCTTGTTGGCCGGATGCCCTATATGAGGCCACGTGACCCAAACACCTATAGAATGCTGCGCGGCTAGATTAGTGTACAATCAACCAACCTTCCACCTCCATCAGGTTATGGGCCCTTGGCCGCTCCCGCGCCATCAACTACATGCTTTAAAAAGGGGTTGGTTCTGTGAGTCTCCTACAACAGTGGACAAGATAAGGACTTGACAGAATGGCTAGTAAATGACTAGATTATTATTATTATTATTATTCTTCCATTATACTCATATGCAAGCGGAGCTTATGATGAGTCCTTGCGTGATGTTAAATACAGGCCAAGTGTTGGTTATACAGGAGGAAATACAGGTGTTGAGACCATGCCAAGATAACAAGAACATAGGAAATACAAAGAAGTGACAATTAAATACATACAATAATAACTTCTCATCCCAGGAACATAGAGTGATTTGTTGGAGTGATTTGTACACCTCTGTATTTATTAGGAACCTGAGGTGCTTGAGTTCCGGATTTAATGTATCCCCTGCGGGTTTCAAACCCACACACCTTGGTTTCCCACGCCAAGGTGCTACCGGGTGGCCGCATTAACCATTCGGCCACCGGGGCTAAATGACTAGAATTCGCATTCAAAGATCAACAAAGCTCTCAAAATGCGAGGCATTGAAAGCTCTTAAAATGCAAGACATTAGAAGCTCTTAATAAAAGGTATAAAAAAAAAACAGCTCTTTGCAAAAGATATAACATATCTCAATCTTCTTCATACATAATTAAATCAGCTTTATTCTCAACTATAATTAAGTAATTTATTCTATTAAATACTTAAGATCTACTCTATATAAATATTCAATCAATTCTTTGATAAGTGACTAAGACTGCTTATCAAAGTTATGTCTAGACTAGCTGCTGAGACTATAAATTTCATATTTAATCTCATTTAATCTAATCTTATACATTTCTTAATATGAATCTCACTGAAACTAATTATTAAAAAAACATGCAAAGTAACTATATATCAAATCTTAAAATAAGATTATAACTTAGAAAAAATAAGAAAGTAATCTTATTTAATTTTATTTAGATTCATTCTTGATATAAAGTTACTATTTTTAGACATTTTAAGAGTTTTTTTAGTCTATTTTTAATTTTTTAAAAAGTAATGCTTTTTGATAATACTCAAATGAGATTTAAAGTCATTTAAAGCAATAAAAATAATTTAAATTAAGAAGTGAAAATCATAATCTCATTTAAAAAGTATAATAAGAGTAGACAGTAAGTCTTACTGAGATAGTATAAAACTACTATATAATTTTAAAACTGTGTAATAAGATCAGTTGTGTAAGAAGTCTACACTAAATAGATTAATATAATATATAGATCTTATAATATAAAAGTGAAAAATATTAAAGAAGGAAAAAAGAGAAAGTATGAAAATCAGTAATCAGAGTATATATTTATATATATATAGAGTAAAGCTTCAGAGCAGAAGAATAGAAATTCTGTATATATAATAAAGCTTCAGAGTGAAAGAATAGAAATTTCATGAGTTTTTCAACTAAGAATCAGTGACTGAGAATTGAAGCTTTCAGTGAAATCTATAAAGTGTAATGAAATAGTTTATATAATTTATCAGATGTAGTCTGTTATATTAGTTCTCTCTTTTCAGAAGTAATATAGAGTTACAGATACATAGTTCTCATTAGACTGACTATGTGATTATGTCTGAGATCAGAATTAGAATATTTGATAATTTTATTATCAATTTAACTGATTTCATTACACAGTTTTAACATTAAATAGTAGTTTCATACTGTCTCAGTGAGACTTACTGTCTACTCTTATCACATTTTTCAAATGAGATTATGATTTTCACTTCTCAATTTAAATTCTTTTTATTGCTTTAAATGACTTTAAATCTCATTTGAGTGTTACCAAAAAGTGTTACTTTTTAAAAAATTAAAAATAGTCTAAAAAAAACCTTAAAATGTTTAAAAATAGTAACTTTATACTAAGAATGAGACTAAATGAGACCACATAAGACCACTTTCTCATTTTTTTCAAGTCATGATTTCATTTTAAGATCTCATATATAGTCACTTTGCATGTTTTTTTAATGACTAGTCTCAGCGGGATTCACATCAAGAAATGTATGAGATCAGATTAAATGAGATTAAATATGAAATTTATAATCTCAGTAGTCAGTCTAGTTCTCATCAGTCAAGAGCTGCTGTCTTGAATAATACAGAGCTCAGAGTTCAGATCAGACAATTATAACTGACTTATTTCACAAGATATTATCAGTCACAGCTGCAGAGTCTCTTATTAAGAATATCTTCAATCTTTCATTCAAGTTCATTATCTTCTTCTATAATCTCTGATAACTGTCAGTCAGAAGTCAGTTGAGAAGAGAATGAATCAGTGATAATACAGTAAAGTAAGCTTGTATAAAAGACATTATAAATCTCTGATAATATGTCAAGATAATAGTTGTAGCTGTCTAGAACTTCTATCACTTTATACTTAATATAGTGATGATTCAGTGTATAAGATAAGTGTGTAATTTATTTATTCTTAAGATTCAATCACATCAGATCTTCTATCTTATATTGCTTAATAAGATCTCAGTGAATATTGATTTAATCTTCTTAATCTTGTTTAGTACTTATCATGAAGACTTCTACTGAGTCACAGGCATCTCAGAGTTTTATTATTATACTATCAGCAATCTAAATTAAACTGCAGAGATTTGATGTAAACTGTGTGATCTCTAGAGAATTCAACATCTTCATGTGATAATTCTGTGTAAGAAAGAATAAGCTTACATCTGTTGAAACAGTATCTTAATCATTGATAGTAATCTCTGTATGTAGAAGAAGATTATATCAATCATTCTGTAAATAATTACAGAACTTACAAAGATAGTTCTTTACATTATTATTATTATTATTATTATTTAATTATAGATGTATACAGTCAGAGACTATGACATCTACCTGAGAACTTTTAGTTGTCAGGGTTTTTC